TTACATATTAAATTCGTTTAACCGTTAAGAATACTAATTGTTATTTTTTGAAGAACGTGATTTCCACCTATGATGGCTTATTTCCTTATATTTCATTTGTTGGCTAACTTTATCTCAATAATATTTATCCCTAAATTGAAATTCTTAAAAGTGTTACTTGCATTAGCCATTCCTTCCTGGCTATACAAGCATATGACAACGATAACCAATACTGCAAGCTTCAATACCATTCCTGACTGTAAGATTATTAAGAGCATATTCAAATCGTTTAATTAATTTTTGATTGAACAATTGCAAATGTTCATCAGCAAACGAAGAGGACAAAGACGAAGCTAAAAGATTGTCGCAGAGGACAGCACACCTTGTAAGATATGATCTTATGATGAGTCTGTTACATTTACGCTATAAATTAAGATTACTAAGTTTAATTTTGAATAAAGAATTGAAAGGATGACAATCTTTAGTTAATTCAAGGGGAAGCGGAAAAGATGACAAGCAGAGTTTAAGGAATTTCTTTGAAAAAATTGTTGGTTCCCATTGCTTTCGCCTATTTTATATATGAGGAGGCAATAATAATATCGTTGGTGACATGCTATCAATGCGACAATAAAGTTTACATTCAATCTGTGACAAATAATTTTGTTGTAAATCTTAGGATCAAAAAATCTTTATTCATTTTTTGTATGTAAACCAAAAATTAGTAATGTTGTGAGCCAAGATCAGAAATCAATTTTCAATGATAAATATATCGGAAATGTATCGAATTATCTTGTCAAGCAATAAGAATGGAATTAACTTAATAAACTTAAACCAATTATTGTAGAAAATCTTAAAACAAGAATTCTATCCTTTGGATTCATAGAAGATTTGAATTTACAAGTGGTACATAAACATTTCTAAATTGTGAAATATGATGTACCTATTTATTGTAGAATTTCTCAGTTTGATGAAATCTTTTTTTTTTGCAATTACTTAAAATGAGTTGATCAATATTTTTAGTAATCTTCTATCGATATAGAAACCGAAGAATCCGATCCTACAGTAATACTGCGTAAAATTAATTGTTTACTTTCATAAGGTGTCGTTTAAAGTAGCGGTTGTTATCCATTTCTGAATTGTAGTTGTAATGCACAGATAATGATGACTTTTTGTCGATTTGTCGTCACTGTCATTGTAGTGTGTTGACAAAATGAAGGATTAGAAGTAAATAAAATGACATGATCGAAGTTCATATGCTAAATTTATTTAAAAAGTGATACGATTATTTAAACGAAAAGGAAAGAAAGCGATGGAGATAGCGACAAATATTACGATGACACAAATAATTTAAAATTGATCTTCGAATATTTTTATGGCCTCTTTTGAAGAACAATGAAATATGATAGTATCGTAAATTCAAATATTCAATAAAAGTATTGTTCAATTAAAAGATAAAAAAAAATAATTCTTTGAGAATGAATAAATAAGTATTATCAAATGAAAATATTAAAATCATAATAAAAATATATATAAAAAGACTGTTTTATTCTTTCAAATCATATGTAATATCCATTCATTCTTATCATTTTGTGTGAATATTTGAGTATTTGTATTTTGAAGAGTATTTGTATTTGAATTTGAGTATTTGTGCTTGTATTTGAATTAACTAATTTAAGTATATGTTCCTCCGTAGAAAGCGAAGTTTTTGAATTTTCTACTATTCTTTATCCATTGCTCTTTCTCGTTGGCATTAATTTAATTCCGATATATTCTTTCATACCTATTATTTGTGAAGCTTTCCAATATTAACCGTTAATCAATCCCTGAATGTATATATATGGAATTAAACGGAATTAAGGAATTACGGAATTAAATATATACAATAAACAATAACAAATATACATGAACAATTAGAGATGCCAATTGTTTGCAATTAATAGTAATAGTTGCAGCCAATAAATACCATATGATAACATTTATCATGATTATCACAATACTTATCATAATATTATAAATAATAATGTTTATCATAATATCAATTATCAAAAATTTTGAAACAATTACAGCAAGCAAAAAGAATTTATGCATTAATCGATTAATCTATAATTGATACTTTTGTTGATATAATCAAAAAAAAAAAAGTGATATAATTGATTAATTGGAGTATAACACAAATAGCTCAGGTCAAGTTTCATTTTTTTAATAGCTTACAGAGGTCAATCTTAAATAATCTCTATGTTATCGTAATATTTGTCGCTTTCTCCTTCGCTTTTTTTTCCCCCTTTACATTTAAATAATCGTTGTCATTTTTGAATAAATTTAGCATTCAGAAAGTAAGATATCAGATAAATGATATGTAATGAGAATATGTTTATAATTACAAGTTGGCAATATTTCCTAATTGAATATTAAATGATACCTTTAAATAATTCAGTTATTATATATAGTACTGATTTTAAATTACTTTTATGTTACTTTTGAATAAAGAGAAAAAATTCACAAAAGATAAATATTTGCAATGTTTACGACATGTTTACTATTTGGCAAATAAAAATATCTGAAATAATTTGAAATTAGCAATCACAACTATTTATCACATTACATTTGTAATTAGTAAATCATAATTAGTGGTTTAATAGCAAAAATAGGTCCAAATTTGGGGATTAATTAGATTGAGTGCATGAATTTGAAATGCTTGACAAGATAATTCGATGCATTTTTTGATATTCAAATATTTCTGTGATTACTCATTTATCGCTGAAATTGATTTCTGATCTGAATTGGTGAAACATTGGCCCCTTATATTACTAATTTTTGCTTTGCATACAAAAATGAATAAAGTTTTTTGATTCTAAGATATATAATAAATTATTTGTCACAGATTGAATGTAAACTTTATTGTCACATTGATAGCATGTCACCAGCGATATTATTATTGCCTTCTCATATATAAAATAGGCGAAAGCAATGGGAACCAATAATTTTTTTCAAAGAAATTCTTTAAACTCTGCTTGTCATCTTTTCCCCTTCCCCTTGAATTAACTAAAGATTGTCATCCTTTCAATTCTTTATTCAAAATTAAACTTAGTAATCTTAATTTATAGCGTAAATGTAACAGACTCATCATAAGATCGTATCTTACAAGGTGTGCTGTCCTCTGCGACAATCTTTTAGCATCGTCTTTGTCCTCTTCGTTTACTGATGAACATTTACAATTGTTCAATCAAAAATTAATTAAACGATTTGAATATGTTCATAATAATCTTACAGTCAGGAATGGTATTGAAGCTTGCAGTATTGGTTATCGTTGTCATATGCTTGTATAGCCAGGAAGGAATGGCTAATGCAAGT